TGGCTCTATACAAACTGTGCCCTAATAAATAATGACTCTATCTTTAGTTCTTTTGTCATTATCATCATTGGAGTTATTTTTTAACTATTTGAGATCGACTAAACGAATCTTAATCATTATCATCATTTGAGCTATTTTTTAACTATTTGAGACCGATGCTATTATTCTCTATCAGTGATCATATCCTCCATGAGGTCGTAAGTTCTCATACATTTTCTCACTACTTTTATCTATTTTTAGTTCCTTACTATAATTTGGTTCTATCTCTTCAAAACTATCATATAGTTCCTTACTATAATTTAGCCAAAATAACCATAAGTAGCTATGATAGTATAGGTTTCTTCCTCACGATCAAATCTGTAACCTACGTTAACATACTCATTTTCAGTGCTTTCCCTTATCAAACTAGAAGTTACTAGGGAACTATGCATAGTACTGAACAAGGAGCCGCCGAATTAAGCGATGATATATGCGCCCTACGTTTTCTTTTCTTGAATCAAGAGGGAGACATTCTTATTAACAAAAAAAAAAAAGGAGGGATGATTATTTGTTTGCATAAGGTGTCGACCTCATATTCATAGACAACTGAAAGTAAGGTGCACCTCCAAATTTTGTTGAACATGTAGTTTTTGTGTTAAAAGTTTTTTATGATGGTTGAGGAATCTTTTTTACCCGTAACTATAAAGTTTAGAGCTAAAGAAATGATACAGATCGAGTATATTTGAAAGCACTTAAAAATGTTGAAAATAGGCCGTCGAGATACTATATTACAAGATACATTATTTTTAGCACTTTGAATATTTTTTTTTTGATAACTATATATTTCTAGATCAATTGAAGGATTTTATAATTGCAGAACAACCTTTTCGAAGGGTTATTGAAGTGCACCTTACTTCTACGTTTCAAGGTTGATGCCTTAAATAAAAATGTTCCATTAGAAAATATCAACTACAAATAAAGGGAAAAGTTTATATAGAGGTGAGGCTCTAAACAATTAAATTAGAGCCTACCTCAAAAATTTCACTAGAAAGGATTGTTTTGATGCCCAAATATCCTCAAATTGATAATATCGACATCAATATCTATGGACAAATAAAAAAATAGATTTCAAGTTTTGAAAATAGTATATTTTGTAATGCATTTTCTTAGTGTCAATTTTCAAGTTTTCATAGATATATCGGTCTACACTACTTTTTAAGCTTTAAACTTTATAAATAAATATAAAAATGTATTTTAAGGCTATCACCAAGATTTCCACTATTGTTTTTTCTTTATTTTGCCCCTAACTTTTTATATCATACCTTTAACGTAATTTTTTTTTTTATCATACCTTTAACCTAATTTTTTATATCATATATTTATAATATACCTTTTATATCACACCTTTAACATAATTATTTATATCATACCTTTAACTTAGTTATTGTTTTTTCTTTCTTTTTGCCCCTAAGTCAAAAAGGTCAACATCCTCTTAGACCCACGTGTGCATCGATATCCAAAATATCGTTTTTCCATGAAAGTTTGACATTTTTTTACACCTACGTATGCATCACTAGTTTATTGGAAAAAAAAAAAAGAGTAAGCTGTTAAGCAAGTTACTTGTAAGTACCCACTCAAAACTGTCACCAATCGGTGGCAACGGGTGGGAAAAGTCACCACACCCGGCCCGATAAAAAAATCAAAATATCTATATATTTATTAAATATTACACTATTTAAATATGGATGTGGTTTATATAAGGTTGCAACCTTAAACAATTCAATTTAGACGCGCCTCCAAATTTTATCATAAAATGTAATGTTGGTTTAAAAAAGTATTAGGATTATCTTAAAATCTATTTTTATATCTAATTATAAAATTTTAAATTAAATAAATACTTAAAATCAAGTAGACCTATAAATATATGAAAATCTTGAAAATGGACGGTCTAGATAATGTGTTGCATGATGCACTATTTTTGGGACTCAAAAAATATATATATATATATATATATTTGGATATTCATACATCTCGATGTCGAGATGACCAATTAGAGGGTTTTTCAACACTAAAACAACATTTTTCGATGGATTTTTGAGATGCACATGTAATTCTACATTTTAAGGTTGCAATCTTATATAAACTTTTTCCTTTAAATATTACAACTACAAATATATAGTTATATTTATTTAAATATTTTAATATTATATATTAAATATTATTTAAATATCAATACTATTCATATCATGTCCGTGTCGGGTCTACATGGACCTGGGCCTAGACACGAATAGTATTCACGTCCAAGATTTGAACCAAAACCTGGCCTATTGAGTCAAAAATTTGAACTCATATCTGAACGTAGGTTGGGTATACCTATCGGGTGCCAAGTCGGGTCCGAGTCCCCGTCGACTAACTTAACAAAATTACTTTTATATGTCACGGCTATATTTTATTTTCTAGCCTCGTGTCATGACAATTCATCATGTTTCGATAAGAGGGACCCCTTTTTTTTTTTTTTTCGATAAGAGGGACCCTTTTGTTTTTTTTTTTTTGAATACTATCCAACACTTCATTCATTTCTTGACAGTTCTTAATCTATGTTGAATCTTGAGAACAGCCAACCATACAAAAACAATATAAATTTTTAAGGATACGGTTTATACATACATCCAAACCCTATCGGAAGACGCAATTTGGGTGTAAAAATCCTTACAATGACATAAAATCAATTTCTACCCCGAATTAGGAAACTTAAAGATAAAAAAATAATGTATGTCAAGCTGATCTATAAAATTTTTAAAATCTTGAAAATTGACAGACTAACACAATGTGTTCAGCTACACCATTTTTAGGACTGAAATTTTTTCTTTTTTCGGTATCCATACATGTCGAGATGAAGATAATCAATTTGAGGGTTTTCCAGTATTAAAACAGTAGTATCAAGTAGGTTATGAGGTATACCTTACCTTTATAATATAAAGATAACATGTTAAGTAAGTTTTTCAGTTTTTAGTGTATGATTAAAACAAAAGGAAATGTATATAATGATGCCATTTACTTTTAATACAAGGTGGTCACAATCATCATAGACTATTAAATTTAAAATCGGGTGGTCGAGGATGTATCATCGTTTATATCACAAACTCCAAAATAAAATTTCTTGAATATTATGACACACTTTCATCAATTGGATTTCACATCCAATAGCTAAGAGTGATTGTGATATATTTGTATTAAAAATAAATGATCTCATAGTATACATGATACCAAAACAAAATTGGGGATATTTTTGCATTATCTCTCTATCACCTTCCAAACCACTTGTTGTGATTTATAAAAAGAACAAGTTTATACAAGGTGTTAACTTATATCATTGAAGTAGGATGCCCCACAAAAATAATCTAGAAGAAAGTGTTCCGGTATTGGAAAATCTTCTAATTTGATCTTCTTGAACTCAATATATATTAATATAAATAAAATAAAAGATTTCAAATCCTATGAACAGTACATCCCGTCGCAAATTCTCTACACCATCTATTTTTAAGATTTTCAAGTATTGATAAGTCTACTTGATCTGTACCATCTTTAGAATTTCAATTTTGGATAAAAACATGTTTTCAAGCCATCATAAGTTTTTTGACATAAAAACTACATCTCTACACAACTATCATATGTTTCAGACATCAAAACTACATCTCCAGACTAAATTTATAGGTGCGCTTTATTTCCATACCTCATGAGGGTCTTATATGGACATAATAAAATTTCAGTATCAATTTTAGTTTTTTTAACAAAGACATTATATAAACTTTACCGTTTATAGAAAAAGTAAATTTATACATATCTATTAAATATCATATCTATTAAATATAATATTTTATTAAAAAATTATCAAAAATATCCTACGTCAAATTTTATTGAAAAAAACATTTTTTTTAAAAAAACCTTATTCGCTAACACCTTTCACGGTTTTGTAAGGACCGTGATCTTTTTCACTGTTCATTTATTTAAAAAACCATCATGGCACTAGTCGAAACGTGATATGCTTTTAAACCACAAAGTGATCACAATTTTGTTAGAATCATGATCGTTTTAAACTAGAAAGCCATTACAATTTTAACAGGACTGCGATCCTTTAAAACTTCACACTGCAATTTTTGTAAGTGGACGTTCCAGAGCATCACATGCTATTTAAAATTTTTGAAAATGGACGATCTAGATAATGTGTTGCAAGATGCATTATTTATGAGATTTAAATTTTTTTTATATTTATACATCTCGATGATAAACTAAAGGGTTTTTCGGCATTAAAATAACCATTTTTGATAAAGTTTTGAGATGCATATTTAATTATACATTTTAAGATTGCAACCTTATATAAAGTTTGTCCTTATTTAAAATATGGGATTGTATGCAATGAGACCATTTAACTTTGTTATAGGGAGATCACAATTATTTATAACCATCAAATGTGAAATTTGAGAGATTAGGTATGTCACAAAGTTCGAAAAAATTTCTTTTGATTTTGAGCTTAGGCAATGAAATAAATGCCACCAAATTTTACATCCAATGGTCAAGATTATTTGTACCAAAAGTAAATGGCCTCTTTATATATTTTCCCTTAAAATATGAAGACTTTCTATATGACCCCAACAACATATATATGGGATCCTACTTATCAATTGTTCCATCTAAATAGAACGGTTACTATTGTTCATACCATAATGTCAGACCAAATGCTTATTTATTTATTTTTTACAAAATATTTTTTAATGAAATTTTGAGAAACCAATCATAAAATTAAGATGAACTGAAAAAAATAAATATTCCTATAAAAATAAATGATCAAAATACCTTTAAAATTTTAAGATGTATTCTGGTAATTTTTCATCATAAAAAATAATTTGTTTTTATTTTTATCCTGTGCTCTTGTCAGATCCATGCATATCCCAAAATTTTGGCTTAAAAATGACTTATATAATAAAAATTTAAAATAAAAAACTATGGATTGTCCGATTAAGATCTACCGGTTAAGAGCTAGCTTGTGAAATTGTAACTCAAGCCATCTATTAAGATCTGACGGCTGTGAGATGAGGGGTCATGGGAAAGCTAAATACCTCCCTGCTCTTGTCCGCGCCGATGTGGCATTAATTTATTATCTCCGATCCGAAATTTCGGTGTCATTTTGACATCTTGGCACTGTGCCCGAAATTTCGGTCATTCCGTGCAAGCTCTTCCAAAGTTTCAATTTCACGCTCGTCACCCTCGCTACTTCTCACCTCCAACCATGTCCACTCTTCGCACTCTCCTCATCCACCCCAAAACCAGTCAGCAAAACCCTAGAAATTTCTCCCAACCTACAAGAAATTTCCCCTCATGGAACCCCCACGCCCTAGAAAAATTGGGAAACCCTAGAAAAACCCTAATTCTCAAGGCCACTGCTATGTGTCTTCGAATTTCAAGCCATGGTCGAACCTGAAGTGAAAATTTCAGTGTGTGAATCTCAAAACCCTAGAAGAAGAGAGGATCTCTATCATCTCCAGCTCCAAACCCTGGAAGAGAACGTTCCTATTTATCTGCAACTCCAAACCTTAGAAAAACCCTGACAATGGAGGCCCTAGCAGTGAATTACCTAACTTTCTGATGGATTGCAATTCTCTGAATCTCTGGACCATAGGAGAACCCTTAGACAAGAGTTTCTTAGTGCTATGCTACTTCATACCCCTACAGGAAAGGGAATTGGCGAGTCCGATGGAGACCATGGATCCGTGGAGCTTTATACTGTGAAAAATCCAAACTCTGAGAAATCCATGTAAAGTAACAGCCTTTCATACCATGTTTGCAACTTAACAATCGCCATGAACAAAAAAAGCCCTAAACGTACATAGCTTTATACTCTGAAGCTCCAGACACTTTAGAAAATTCCTGCATAAGAGCATATAAATTCCCTTTCAACTCCAAAGTCTGAACCATAAAAATTACCATGAGCAAGCTCCACACTTTCTCTTCCAATACCCACCCCCAATTGCCCCCCTCAAAAACCCTAACCCATTTTCACCACTGCTTCTCCCTCTCTACTAGAGCACCAGGCCACAGAATCCTCTGCTCTCAAAACCCCCAACTGCAAACCGAAACCCAAACACTATCCCTAAGTTCCATTCTCACAGCGATTACAGGCTGGGCAGACCAGATCAAAGAGAGAGGAATGCGAAAAGAGCGACATTTATACACCCACAATGACTGGATTCAACATCGAAGCTCTCTCCGCCATGTTAGGCACCTTCTCTCGAGCCTTTCATCGAGAGTAGTTCTCTCTCTAGTTCCACCCGTATTGTTCTTCACAACTGTGGCTGCCGTTATAGCTTCATATAACACTGCGATTTTGATGAACTGGGTCCCGAGCTTTTTCCCTCTTCTTAGGGCTTCTTCATTGCCATATCAACTCACTGCACCAGCATTGGCCCTTCTTCTGGTTTTTAGGACCGAGGCTTCATATTCTCGGTTTGAGGAGGGGAGGAAGGCATGGGGTACGGTAATTACTGGGGCTAATGAGCTTGCGAGGCTTGTTGGGGTTTCAGTGAGAGAACCAGTTGATAGGAAGATGAAGAGCGTACTTATTCGGTATATCATGGCGTTTCCTGTTGCACTCAAGGTGAATACTCTCTCTCTTACACACATACACACACTCTCTCTCACACACACAGCTTTCTCTTTCTCACATTTTGTTTTCTAACCTCATGCTATTGAAGTATTCTCTCATTCTCTCTCACACACAAACCTCTCTCTCTCAAGATTGGGTTTTTATTTTGATTGAATTCTTTTCTGGTCATGCTCTCTCTCGTACTTTTGCACTGATGCCCTCTCGCTCCCTCTCTCTCATGCACAAAACTCTCTCTCAATATTGGGTTTTAATGTTATTGAATTGTTATTTGGGCCATGTTCTCTCTCTCCTCAAATCAGATTTGCTAACCTTATGCTATTGAGTCGTTTTATGGTCTGTGTATCTCTCCTCTCCTCTCTCTCTCTCTCTCGTTTATTCTGTCCCACTCTCTCACTGACAGACACACACGCTCTCTCTCTCTCTCTCTCTCTTTTTCTCACTGGGTTCTCTGGCCTTGTGGTATTGAGTATCATTATCTGCTTTATGCCAAGTTACTTTTCTGATATTATTTTGATTTCTGGGTTTTTTCTATTAATTAATTGGATTTTATTTTGTACCAAAATAAACCTTTTTTTGGTGGGTATATTGTTCCGGGATTATATAGAATGATATCATTTGTCTTTGATGCAAGGTGGTCAATTTCTTACGACCATCCAATGTAAAATTTGATAGCTTGGATGTGTTACAAAGTTCGAAAAAACTTAAGTCTGAGCTTGGTCGATAGAATAATTACAGCCAGCTAATTTCACATCTAATGGTCAAGATTAATGTGACGATAAATGATCTTATTCTATACTTTCCTTATTGTTTTTAGGAAAATTACGTAAATATCCATTATATTTATCGTTATTACGAAAATACCTATGAGTTTTATTACACTTATATTTGTTTTTTCATCTTCGTAACATTTTAAAAAAGGACAAAAATGGTCAATTTTGGTTTTTCAAAAACAAAAAATAGACCCAATTCGATATTTGGAAAACCGAAATGTAGGGCCGTCCATTTACCTCCATCTTCCCTGTGTCTCTCTCGTCTCTACAATTTTTCGGCTCTCCCCTCTCTCCATTTCCGTGCCTCTCGCTCTCTCCTCTCTCACAAGAGATCCCATTCTAAAGCTTGGACTAATTAGTTTCAGTTATGCCCCACTTTCCTGAGGATCTAAGGCAAATTTGGTTAAACATGTGGTTTAAGGCATTAATAAGCGGATTCCTCGTTCGATTTCTTCCTCCTTTTTTTTCCTTCTTGTGGTTTAACTTTAAACCATCATGGAGAGGTACATGATGTTTCATTGAATTAGCTATATCTTCTGGCGGTAGCATCCCCACACCCAGTTACCACATCGTGGTTACCCCTAATTAACACTTTCAAAATGTAATTCCCTAATCAATTGAAAAAAAACGGATAGGGGCATGTCTTCCCCATTGAATTACCCAAAAAAAACTATATCTTTTGGTGTTGACTTACAATCCAAAAGTTATCATATTCCAACCTAACCAAACTTCAAGCAGAGGTCCACATGGCAATATGAGTGGTGAGAAGTGTTCAAAATGGTAACGAATGGCCTGTTAGCATACACCAACTTAACCAATCACAATCACCCATTACAATAATTGGCCATTCTATCTAAAACACGTTGAAACTGAGTTTTTGATTTTTCAAAACCAAAAATTTGAGATTTTAGGTTTTTGAAAAACTGAAAATCATGATTAATTTTTAGTAACTTACTGGAAATTGAAACTAAGTTTTCAGTTTTTCAGAAACCGAAAACGTGAGATATTCGGTTTTCACTATTTGAAAAATCGAAAATCATGGTTCATTTCCAGTAACTTACTGAAAATTGAAATTGAGTTGAAAACTGAAAAAGTGAGATTTTTGGTTTTTGAAAAATTGAAAATTTTAAAAAATTCAGTTTTTGAAAAATCGAAAATGGGCAATTATGTCTTTTTAATAAAAAAAAGTATTATGTAAGTTGAAAAAACAGATAGAGGTGTAATAATAGGAACTTAAAAGTATTTTCGTAATATTGGTAAATATAAGGGATATTTGCATAATTTTCCTTTGTTTTTGTTTTCATTTTTTCTCTTCATTGCTATTTGTTACAATCTATTCATCCACACACATCTGTCACACTGCACTATCTCGTTTTCTATGTCCACATGTTTTTTAATTAATTTATGGTCTATATCAAGCTAGTTTTCTAGTGTTCGGTTGTTCTTTGTCTTATATTTCTTCTTCTTTTTAACTAGGATACTTCTTTGAATTATTGTTGGGCATAATTCTGTCCTCTCTCTTATACTTTTTCTTCATTTGATTTATTGTTGGGTATATTTCTTTTATTCTCCTTTTTCTGTTTGTGACTGTTTATTTTTTCCTACATCCTATTCTTTCTATGTGGACCTTTTAATTTCCACATTTTCTTTAAGTTTGTGAAAATGTGCAAATTAGAAGGTCCACATAGGAATTGGGATAAGTCTTGGATGATGATGATGATGATTTTCTTTAGGTTTATGTTATGTCCAAGTGTGATTGGTCGTACATTGATCTGTTCATCTTCTTCTTTGTTGTTTTGTGAATTATGTATGTGCAATACACATTGCCCCACAGCATAAAATTGAGCAGATATCAATCCCTATAAAATTGTCTTAGGGATCAGTTGAGTGGCAAGTTTAATATGTGGCAGTTAGACATAGTTAGCATTCATAGCTGATTAATTAAATTTATAAATGGCCTGATGACTTTACTGAGTGTTCATCTAAGTGGAATAGTTCCCATAATACTGTATCATGATGGATGGTCTCTTGCAAAGCCAGTGTACATCTAACTGGTATAGTTCCCATAATACTGTATCATGATGGATGGTCTCTTGCAAAGCCAATTACACTGGTGCTACACTATCAATTCATAATAGATTAAATTATCCTACTTGATCAACACCTCCTAAGGTCGATTCTAGGTCATTTAATATGTACAATTGGTATCCATTACTTTTGGTTTTGCGGGGTGGGTGATGTTTTACTACTTCATACATTTACATTATTTTGCAGAGAATGGTGCCTATGGTTCTGATTGAGTCTCTGGAATTAGGTACTCGAGAGCTACAATACATATGTGAGCAACATAGAATGCCATTATGTTGCTTGTTTTTTATCCATTTAGTTTGAGTCTTATTGTGCATTTACACTTCATCACATGCCATCATAGATGGGGTGCACAAGAGCTACTGTCAACCATGTAGGTGTTGGTGAAGACCTTATAACTCATGCTGTTCTTTGGGTCTCTAAACTCCATATTCCAGTAACTAACTTCATTTATAGGACCAAAGGATGGCATTATGTCCAAGCAACTTTGGATTTAGTATAATTTTTGGGGATGATCCTTTGTATTTTCAATACCCCGTCTTACCTCGTATAAGAGTTATTTTACCCTTTCTTTTGAGAAATAACTTCTGTATATTGTACCCTCTTGTAAACAGCACCCAAAACCCTCCATTACCGTCCCCATGCATTCTTGACCTCCCAAAACCGATATCCAAAACCTTCTCTCTCTAACTAATATCCTCGTTTTCATCTCAAACCCACCACTTACATATCCTTTTGCATGCATTCTAATGCCCTCTTAAAGAAAAATTAAGGGAAAATTATATTTTTTAAAGATATTTTATTGATACTTTTTAGAGAGATTGAACCTTGAAGACAACACTTTCAAGACTGAACAAGAAAGGGAGCATGAGCTCAAGCGATAGAATTTTCAGGGAGTGTTTCATTGTTCTTTCTTATACCTGAGGTTCCTGGTATTAAAAACACACCTTGTTTCTTTAAAAACTAGTGAAGAAATGGACCTTCTCTTCCTTTCGCTGTTCTCAAATAAGCCTCCGCCTTATCCACTGCCCTGGAAAAAATGGTGAGTTGGGGTTTGGAGTTTTTTTATCTCTCTTCTTGAATCAACTTTGAGTTGGGTGTAGAATTTTCCACAACACCATTTCTCCCCCAAAAAATACTTGTCCACGGTAATCTGCTTGCCGCTTGCTGCCTCTTAACCTTGTTACCGAAGCAGAAAAGAGAAAGGTAAACACCCAACCTGCTTTTCCTCTTCTTCCAGGAGAGAGGCGAGAAGAGAGTATACCTTACCCTCAAGTATGGATTTTTATGGAGTCATAGGCGCCAAAATATGGAAATTGGGTTTTTCTTCCTTTAGTTGTTAGGGTTCTCACATTAGGACAGTTGCAATTCTTGCAGACATTTTCTCCCTTTATTTGTTTGCATGCTACAGGAGAGTTGTCAAACAATCGACTTTTGGGGTATTGAGTTTCACAAATTCGCATGTTGCGCAAATTATAGAGAACTTATAGGTTTGAAAGGTCTGTTAATGAAGCTTTCCTTTTTCCACCTTGTCATCATTTGCAGTGGTAGCAATGGCAATTCTCATGTTCTTCTTATGCTTGAATGGCATCACTGGAGCCAAACATGAATCATAATATGTGAGGCAAATTGAGAGATTCAAATAACGTCTAAGAATTATATATACAAGGTGACAGGGGTGACAGCGTGAGGGTTAATCACCATTGCTATGGAGAACACGGGAGACGGAGAGAGACGAGAGGGTGAAAGTGACACATAGAAAGGGGAAGGGTGAAAAAGTGTGGCTTTGAACTAGGAGATAGAGAAGGGCAAAGAAGTAAAAGATATTTCACTTTAAAAAGAAAAATTGATGAGCTCTCATTTCCTCGGGCTTGGAGATTTTTCAATGGGTGGAATTGACAGCCAAAAGTTCAATACACCTAAATATGGTGTATTAAAAATACATATGATCGTTCCCCTTTATTTTAAAGTTTACCCATTATCATTCCCCTTTGTTTTAAAGTTTAGCCATGATGATGATTACTTCTTCATCATTCATGTTTGTTGCTCTTTGCATAAATAATTTTCAAATGAAATGCAAATGTGAAGGCCTGGCACTTGGAAATTTATTTTTCCCTATTCCTCACATTTGGTCTTCACATTTTTTCACATTTTGTGAATTGCCTCTACTTCTACTTAACTTACTATTATATGGCAGCTACTACAAATGACAGTATTTCAATCTTCAAGAATTGTTTTCCCTTTATAATCAATTACTAGTTTTCCCTTTATAATCAATTACTCACTGAATTTGTTTTCTATGCAAATTCAAAGAGACAAAGAAGAGCTCGATTTTTTTTATTTTTTTATTTTATAAATTAGATTGAAAATGAAAAAGGAAACTGACAAGCCAAGCTTCAATGGCTCTGCAAATTCACTAGAATTATCAAAGAGCTATGTTCTTAAAACGATAAACAACTCTGAAAAAGAAATTAATGAAACTCCTATTTGTAGACTTCATTTGGACTCTGTAATCCTTATTCAATGTAACTAGAACTCCTAGTTAGAATTGAACCCTATTTCGACACTTTCCCCTTGAGTAAATATGGAATGAAAAAATCGTCCTGAGAAAACTCCTGAAAAGATACCCTGACTTCATGTGGGCATAACAAATCACTATTATGACCCCATTTCAGAAAGGGCAGCATAACTAGGCTGGAAAGCACATTTAAAGGCTTGAACATTGGCCCTGAAGTTTGCTTAGCAGACTAGGCTGGAAACTGCATCTGAAGGCGTTGGTCTTGAAGTTTGCTGCACATAGCTGGACTGCATGGAATTTATATTGCTATTATTTATGGACTCTCTCTTTTTTAGATGGCATTCACAAGCAAAGTTTTAAAACCCGGAATTGGGTCCTGGATTGGCCCTTCGATGAGCTGATCTGACCGGCAATTCCTATCCAGATTGGTTGATTCCCTGGTGTGAAAAAAGAAAAACAAAGTTATTCATTTAAAATGAAAAGTATTAAAAAAATTAATTTGGTGGGAATTGACCAGTTCTCCAACCTGGGTTGCTAATCACCTGGTTGATTGACTGAACCAGGCCAGTCTTTCCAAATTGGTCTGATTCCCTATTCGTAAAGGAACTAGTTCAGTGCCCTGGCCATCCTGATCTGGATCTGTGATTTTTAAATCCATGTTTGCAAGTTTGCTCCAATTTATTATTTGTTTCTGTTGGAGTTCCACTGAGAAATTTGATCGGCAGCTACTGAAATTACTGGATGTGACTAATATATTATTAAATGCTTATGGAACTTAAGGCAAGGATTCCTAATATCTTTGCAAAACCTTTGTGAAATTATGCACTAACTTGACCTTTTTTTCTTGCAGTGCCATGTTATTTATGGCTCTGATATCCATCAGGATTTGAGGGATTTGCTTGATGAAGGTGATCTAGAAGTTGTTCTAAGCTCGAAGCACCATCCTCGATGCATCATCGAATTCATTTCACAAAGTCTTCAACTGGTTCACTTGGATGAAGCAAAACGGAATATCCTGGTAAATTTTGGAAAATCCATAAATTTTTGGGTGAAAGATTGAAATTCAAGCAAATGGAAAATCCAATAATTGAATCAATGTGAATTCGATTTTTTTTTTCCAGAGGTAGCGTTCTGGAATACAATTCAACTCTTGAGAATTCAATAAAATGACCATTTAATTGTACCCTCACTTTTTCCCCTGGATTGTGATACTTGGGTGAGTCGATACAAAATACTTCTGGTTGTTAATCTAGGAGGTTACTTTTAAGAGTGAGGCAAATCCGATTTGTTATATGCAAATTTTAAGTGTTATTACTTATTACCAAGTATCCACTTATCATTGCTGTACTTAAAAATGATTCACACACAACCTCAGCATTGAAACTTGTTTGATTCATTAACAATCAACTTTTGGGGCATTCTATTTTTGCGTTATAACATAGGTCATGGATCTCTGCACACATTTATGGTCTATACTCCCAGGAACAACAAAATTTATATCTTTATGAAACATAGCTTTCGACAACTGTCTCTCTCTCCTCACACACACAGAAACAGAGTACCTTGAGGCTTGTGCCACACTGCTCTTTGGAAGGGCCCTTGCATCATTATCCCCCCCACTAATGACACATACATGCACACTAGAGAGAGAGAGAGAGAGAGAGAGAGAGAGAGACGTCTACGTAGTGTATTAGTTATTTATTTACTACTTACGTTAACGTTTAAAAGTTCGTCGTAGTAGTTGGTAGGTACGGACGACGACTACGT